GAAGGTTTAAGACTGTACTTGAAAATCGATGAAGCGAAATTCCATGTCGATAGTAATAATGTATCTTCAGAGCACGTTCCACAATACCAAAAGTTACTATTAGTGCTACTACGAGTAATTGGACATTGTTGGATGACCATTGTCTTGTCATCAAAGGTGAATATCTCTTCTGGTGTAATCAAAAAAAACCGAGCAAGCGTCGAAGACCAACAGATATCATAAAGCCGACCATGATTCCATATACTATCGTTCTGAATATTCAATTGTTGATCGAGTAAACGGAGTTTATTCTGCTCTCCTACTAAAATATGATTTTCATTCGCTGCGATCGAGCAGTAAGGGTTTTCTCCTCTGAATACTTGATATGGAGGCGGTAATGGTAACAGAATGTTTACTCTTGATATACGTTTTTTGATAGTAATGAAATAACCATCAATAATCAATTGTGGTAGAATGAATTCGTCGAGACGAAATTCGTTCATTTTCTGTTTAATAAATTGAATATGAGCATCGATCGTATTGATATGTTCTAGCGTTATGTTTTGCTCATAACTCAATTGATTCACTTGATCTTGTAGCAGATTAAGTTCTATTTCATGTTTCATTCGTTCTTTATAGATGTATTGTTTAAATGCATATTTCGACCTTTCATAAAACGGATAAATTTTGTTATGTGTTTCCGGATGGCATTTCTTACCTTCAATAATACATACAAATTGAACCGTAGAAATATCATTTATTTGATTCCAAAACACTTTGATTTCGTTGATAAACTGGTTGATTTTATCATAAAAAGAATCCGAGTCTGTTTTGTCTTCATCCATGCTGCGATTCTGTTAGCAAAAGTTGTAGAATATATATAAAATACGTTTTCACGAGCTAACATCACCTATCTGTACTTAAACCTTTTGTTTTGAATACAGGTAAGTGGGACAAATCCCATGTAAACGGTGACATTGGATTTTGTTTGTCGAAGGAAGATGAATCATTCTTTTGTAAGTGTGTGGGCAGAAGTGCAAAGCAAGCAATGACAAAGGAAAATGTCCATGAGATTATTCACGATAGAAAATTCTAACGTAAACAGATTATAGTGACCATTTAGGAATTATCATGATGAGTAACTTCCTAGTTTGATTTATACATGAGTGGGTGGATCTCAATGGTTCAGCTTATATTTTTTTTTGTGAAAATATTCCAAATAAACATTTAGAGTGACGATAATAAACACATGATCCTATAACCAATAAATATTAGGATCAAAGCAAGTGATTAGAAAGTCGTTAGTAGAATGATAAAATGTACATTATTCTACATCATCTACCTCATCAATTGCATCATGGCGGAATGAAATCAATTCGACCAGACAAAGTATTCAATTTTTTTATTGAAAAGCTTTTATTTCAACTCTTATAGATTCCGAGCATCTATGATTCTAAAGCTATTTGTGATTCTCAATACTGAAACAGGCATGTTCTCTCAGTATCTTGTCAAAAGTAGTTCCTTTCGACTAATCATCGATTTAGGATTCAACCTATATATTATGGTCATCTGAGTTATTAGTATTTGAAGTTAATAACTCGAGTAGACAGTTAATGAATTATAGTTAGACAAAATTTTATTCGAAATATTCATCGAATTCGTTTTCATTAAGTTGTGAACTGAAAGTTTTCCTAGAGATTCAAGCATATTCACTTCGAAAAAACTAGCTAGACGGATTTAACCAGCTATTTCAAATTGGATACTGTTTGGGTACTAGTAATTAACTATTTAATTATTTATTGTAAAGGTACTCATTAATGAATCACTCTTAATGATGTCCGCTGATCGATGTTTCAGTAATAAGTAATTATTCACCAAATCAATCATTAATCGATTAGTCATCAATCACTTAATTAATCATTGATCAGATCAGTTCAGGTTTCTAGAAATCGGATCTGATATAGAATTATTACAGTCGTATTTATGATCCTTTTTTAGATCATCTTCTGGTATCTATTCCAGTAGTTCTTTGTTTTATGCTTCCTCCGCTCTTTAAATTGAAGTTCTGACTTTGAAGCTAACAGATGGGACAATAATTTCCATTACTATTTATATTTATATCTTACTGGTTGAAAACTAACATTCATTCGTGACACTTATTGATTTCATACTATGAATGATGTTTGCAAAAAAAATAAAAATACACTTGAACTATTCATCGTGAGCAGTCTTTGATTCCATTCACGTAAGACGATTCCTAACTCAAAAATAAAAAATATTGAATCTATTATTTGAACGAAATAGCATGAACTATGTATGATTAATAGGAAGCGCATTTCTACATAGTCCTTATTTTTCGAAAATTTCAAAAGCTTTCTTAGCATTCGAAGACAAGATGAATAAATAACGAATCATGGATTAATTGAATAGAAATCGATGAAAAAAATATACTTTCTCAATATATCAAGTACACACTAATAACGAATGCGATACAATGATGTATTTGAGTTACCAACTAATTCTGTTGTCGTCTGTTTAGTGCAAGCTTTTAGATGTACTCTATGGTTTCTATAGATTCCCACTGATCAAATTCAACAATCTGAACAGTGCGATTTGCTCGAGTCAGTCCTAGAAATGGAAAAGTACCGTTACTTGATCAGATAAAGTAACTGCTAGGTAACGATAGCTGCCCATCCGTAGTCAATATATCCACTGTGTCAATTTATAAAGTCTGCCACTATTTTGTGGCATTCTCAACTTAATGGAGTGTTCATGTAAGCGTGGCTTGTATGTCAATAGGTTTCAAAGAATCAGAATATGCGAAAAATAAATGATTATCAGGTACTATTATTTTTTCGAATTATTTTGTAATTTAAAAGTGCTATCCAGTGTAAGATGTCTCAGAAATGAGATTATGCGTTTGCAAATATTCTATATTCGTAGTAAAATTTTTTAATGACTTATCTAGAGCAATTAAAATGCATGAGTTTTTATTGTAATTCTACAAATATTTTCTTCCCAATGTACACAAGTATTGCATTTAAAACTTTCATGATTACACTTAAATGGTAGGATATCTAGAATGATCATTTGCTTTAAGTATAAGATGAAAATTAGCGAAACGGAGTAATCCTAATCAGTGCCCAATAATATTGCTCAAGTTTTTTTTTCTTCAGCATAAGATCAAGAAACTTTTGTAGCTGAAACGCGCAAATTTTTTGAAAATACTGTCCTAATGATACTCACTATGTCCATCAAATGAGAATCGAACTGAAATTTAATTATAATCGCAGATTATTGTGACAAAGCGGGAGAATGGTCGTTGCCTATCTGCGTGCTCGATTGATGCACCAGCTCACTCATACAATGACGAGAAAGCAATTAGTCTCGATGAATTCGTAATCTTGAATTGAATCGATTTCTTTTTGATGGTCCATTGTAAAATCCAATCTTAGACATCTTATTTGTTATATAGAATACTGGTGGTGCATTATGAAGAACGAGGAATCATACTTTAAAGAAATAAATCATCGTTATTTATAATCTACCATCGAAAAGAGTCTTGTCGAGAGAATCAACAATGTCAATAGTCAAGATTAATACGAGAATACACGAATAGATTGTTGTCCATGGACCAAATAACTCAGTAAGATCTTGCTTTCGGTGTTGATTTGTTAAAAACCTGTTTGCTACTTTATAAATTTGCTTACTTCAGCTCGTATTTTGTCTCTATTTTTTTTCTTCTTTTACTTTTATTTTTTTTTGTTTTCTTATTTCATTGTTCGAGCATGTTTTTATTACTTGTAACTGCTTTTCAAACGGAGGACAAAAAAGACAACAGGCTACTATCATAATTTTTACTACTTCATTCGATGTTTTTTATGACTGCTGCGCACTATTATGCTCGTGCACAAGATGACGACCGTAAAACATGCAAGTCATACATTTATAATAGACAATGTGCAGCACTAATATTTAACGTGAACAAGGGAAAAAAGAAGATGATGATATGAACAATGACAGTTCAACAAATAATCAATCTTTAAACAATGAATATATCGCAGTTGTTTGATCTGTACTCTGTCTAGATCGATTTTTATCGACAGATAACTGTAGAGACAAATTGGTCAAGTGAAGTGACTGACCTACAAAAAGTTGATAAATAACAGAAAGAAAGACGTAATGGTTAAATAGCATTTTGCTGTTCTACATCAATTCAAAATGATATTTTATCTCCAATCGTAAAGTTAACGTGTATGAATATGAACAGTTTATTAATTGCTTTACCTTTCTTTTTCTCTTCGAAAAACAGCGAGCTTATCAAACACAGCATACTCGTCTTTGAACCTCTGAAGCGACTCGATTTCAATAATCTATTACTGTTGAAAGCCGTAAGTCTCATTTTCTTTTGCTTTATTGTGACAAGGTATTGCTTGAGCAGCTGAATAGTGTAGGTTCTTAATAAGGTAAATCTATTCGTACTCAATCAAGATATTACAGAAACATATCTTCGTCTCACAGAGGCTTTATTATTTTCTTATGTCAAAATTGAAAGTATGTTCTCAGTGTTTTTTTTTCTAGTACTATAAATCGAAACCTTTTCGAATTAGTATTCTTGAAACGTTTGAATCTGAAGTAAGAATCATTTTTTCCATCAATTCGTTATCGGGAGAATGAGAGTACAGATATGTCATCTGTCTGCATTCTCAGAAACAGAGAGCATCAATTGACTTTGTCACATTTGTCTTTAAAGCAGCGTGCAGCTAGTAATGGTGTCTTTCATGCAATATGCCTTCTCGTTATTTTTTCTTATGGCAATTGTTTCATTGGCGAAAGATGTTGATCTCCTTTTGAACATTTGCCCAGGTGATTGGTCATGCCGTTTGGATGATCCCAATTCTTATTTGAAACTTACTCCGCCAAAATTCGATCCACATATCTACGAATATAACATTTACATTACTGACAAATATCCATTCTACCATCGAACCAATCCGGTGACTGCTGAAATCTTTATCCGCATGAATGTTTCACATGGATTTCAAGATTCAGTCATCGCCAAGAGTGTCTTATATGATGCTCTTGGAAAACGTATTCTTACAATGACGGACTTTGCATATAGTTCTGACGAGATGATGTTGATGTCAGCACTATTATGGAAACCACAAGATAGAGTATCTGGCATTGATAGTAACGATCAACTGACAACACAACTAGTCGTCTATCGATTCAATGGTACTATGGCACCTCTATCTAGTCCACCATATACAATAAAATTCAGACGTAATCAATAAAATAGTACGTCAACGATTTGGAAAATCGATAACAAAAAGAATCTGATGAATATTCTATTGATCATATTGGAAGGATAGTCGCACAGCATGTAAATTCTTGTTTAGTTACATTTCTACGAACAATCTCTAGAATTTAGATTTCAGGATGATTTACTGGGAAAAGACGGAGAAAGTAATGTTTGATTCCAAAAATCATTCTATTTTTAATTCAATTTCGATGGTTCTTTTGCTCTTGCTGTATAAAAAAAGCAACTTGACACACAACACGATTTTCATATCTTTCAGGAGTTGAAAAAAGATGCATATCGACATTGTTGAAGACATTCTTCGTTACTTTAAGATGTTCTGGTCAGCTACCATCACATGGGTAGCCAAGTTCTTCCTTTTAGCAAGATTGATTCTTTGTCTGTGTGATATTGAAGCTGATGACCTTTTTAAAGCTGACGAACGGTTTTCCTGTTGCGCTTCTGTTGATGCTTTTTCTTCAAAGGGATTTGAATGAATCAGCTATTGAATCATGTGACCATTTTCTTTCTGTAAATGACGGTAAGAAACTGTTATCATGCTGACGCATAAACAAAGAGTATATCCATACTTTAGATTGAAAAGGTAAGTGTAGAAGTGTGCATATGTGTGATAGTCATCAACAGAAATACATTCATTGTGCCTTAGTTCTTTCCAATAATACATATTATGCTTCCCAAGTTCGTCTTTACTCAAACTGCAATACGATTGTGAGTGTACATTTGCAAACGGATCTGAGTGTGTATATGAGCATGGGAGTAGCCGTAAGAGCCAATAGCTATAGGCGACATCATTATGCTCACATTCATGCACACATCTAGCAAGAAAAACTGCGAATATCTCTCATTAAAGGCTATCTGCATGAGAAAAATACAAAAAATAGAAGTGTTTTTATATGTTCGTTCAAGCTTTATCAGATATTTTTGCGAACCCTCACTTTCATCATACTAGAGTTGTTTCTAGAAGAGAGGAGTTCAATATCAGTTATTTATCTCGAAGTTTTCCTGTACACAAAACTCATCGTCAAAAATTGCTCTCGAAATGTACAGTGAAACAAACAGATTTTCTGTCAAATAGTGTCTTACGCGTTCTTGGTTCATCAATTTTTTTCTTGAACAAGTAATAACGCTTATAGTTAATAATGTCTGAGAATATTCCAACAAAACAATACGTTTATCGCTTGCAATATAATGCAATATCATTATTACAACAGAGTTGTGCAATTCATAACAGTCATTAAAGCAATAAAAGTAGGAATTAAATTCATATCTCACACACGATCGTGTAAACTATTGGCAAAATAAAATAGACGAAAATCAGCTTCAATTATATATGTTATTCAAATATTTTTCTCGTTATGTACGTTTCCATTGAAGATTGCACAAGAAGTAAAACTGAAAAAAAAGCATCCTATATGAATTTAGAAACAGACTGCATAAGAATTCATTTTCTTCTCTGTTTCATGATAAACTGCCTTATCTATGAGTACGAAAAAGAAAGACGTAAAATATGTTTTTTTCTGACATCATGCTATCGTAAGAATGGAGTTAAATGCAGATAAAGCGTTCATTTTCATCCTGTAGACATGCATTTCTATAAAGATTTTTGCATGAACATGGATGAAATTAAGTTCCACACCAACATCCTAGAGAAAAGTAGATTGATGGTTTTGGTCTCGATCGTGCATGCCCCAAAACAACTCTACTTATTCTCTTTTCACAAAGTCGATATTATTCTTATGAAAAAGTATACGTATTGAAAGACTGGTACTAATTCTTTTTGGCTTTTGCTCGAAATGTCTTGATGTCGGGAAAATGCATATTTGGTGAATTTGAATTACAGTTTCAAGATGAAAGAGAATGTCATAAGCAAGTATGCAAAGGTCGAAATAAATAGATCGAATGACTCTTTAAAGCAGGTATATTCGTAAGATTGTACATCAAGTGAATTATTTAACTTTTGAAGTGCTATGTTGACTCAATTATTTTTAGAACTTGCCAAAATAGTTAATTTGATAACTGTCGTACAAAATATAAAACCATGACCTTCATCAAAGGGAATGTATATGCAAGTGCCTTACGATGGGATGGTTTACCAATTGAAACAGTAATAAATGCAAAAGCTCAATCGAATCATCAGCCAATTACTATCTGTTATTATTTTGATAAAAATCTTAATAAAAAATATCAAAAATCAGTTCTGGATGCCATACATGACATAGAAGAAGCTGCACCAGGCATTCAGTTCAGCTATAGCGAGACAGCATCGAATCGTATTCGGATTTTCTATGGATCAAACAGTCGATCTTCCATTGGGATGACACGAGGCCAACAAGATCTGGAGCTGGGATGGAACACCAAGGGTAATGTACTACACGAATTACTGCATGCATTGGGGTTCGCACACGAACACCAACGCGAAGACCGTGATCAATACGTTCAATGTCTAAGCGAAGATAGCAACAACTATGATATAATGGGTATGCCAATTGGTAGATACGATGCTGATTCTATCATGCACTACTCTACTGAGAAAGGCACAATCCTTAATCGTATTCTCTGGGCATCTCATAACGATAAACGTCTAAGTAATGGTGATAAAATTGTCCTCAATACATTGTATCCACCTGCAATTCGGAATGGCACATGGAACCCAAAACAAGGTACTACTGGTTTATTCTATTGTGGAAAGCATAATATGGAAGACAATAATGCACCATTTGGTAGGATTGGTGTAGATGGTTATTGTGGTCCTGACAACGGCCCGAATTGTCCCATTTGCCGAACTTATGGTGGTATACAATCAAGGTATAATGATGAGGGAAGAAAGGCAACACAAGGAGAAACAGGTTTATTTTATTGCGGCACAAAATTTGTACCAAAACAAGCAAAAGAACGAAAATATCATTATGGTTTTTGTGGGCCCAATAACGGTCCTAATTGTGAATCTTGTTCGAAATTACTTGATTAAAATGTATCTTTTTCTGATATTTGCTTAAGAAAGTCTTAATTTGTATATAAACAACTAAATTCTCAATTATTCTGTCTTTATAATATATGAACATAATATGTGTTCCATTAAGTAGCCTACTTGAATTTAATCTGAGGATGAGTATGTTCATTATAAACAAGCTAACACAACTAATCTTAGTCTTATTCAAAGATGACAGCGAAACATATTTTTCGTTCTCTGTCAGAAAAGTTTCCAAGAAGTTTCAGTGACAGTTTTTCTAGTCTTAAGCAACGGAGTATTTAATGTTTTCACTTATTTTTTTGCTTTTGTTGAGCTTATGTGTGTTCTCGTTGAAATGGTTGCCATTAAGATTATGTTTCATCTGAAAGGTTAGTTTGAATGCCGAATCTTATCGATTTTTTTACCTGATTCTAGATGGGAAATTTGTTTTTTGACTTGTAGATGAATTTGATGTGTTGTTCATTTGCTTGACCATCCATGTGTCTTTGAAAGATTCATAAGTTGAAGTTTCAATGATTTTTCAGATTTTAAAGTTTAAAAAAAAATTATTCAAAGTGTATGAGAACGTTAAGAAATTCGATTTTGAATGCACGACGCTCACCATAATGAATTGGCCAGTACAGGCGAGACGTTTCAATTCTCTCTAATGATTACACAGACTTATCGCTCAACATATGGATCAAAAGCCATTAGTGCGGATTCTTCAGATACGTCTCTTATGAGAATAGCTTTGGCCAAGATGAGAAAAAATGAAAGTGGTGAACGAATACTACAGTTGATCAAGAATGAGCATGAATGTAGATGAAGACGACGGACTCAATTGACACTCAAACCTGATTCTTTAACTTCGTAACGTATTTAGAAGTTTTTTTTTAATGGAATTCGCCGTTTATTAGAACAGAAAAAAAACATCTGATTAGTAGAATATACCTTTGAAAAATTCTTTTAGTCAGAGCGAATGAATTGTAAATAACTAAGTACTCTAGATATTGTTCATCTGTTGGCGCAACTCGAGCACGTTATGCTTGAAGAATCTAAGCTATTTTTGCAATTGTGAAAAACACTGAAGAGATCTATTATGATCGGAATAAATTAACATAGGTTGCAACAATCTCAGATCCATGTTTTGTTTATGTTTGATGAAGGTGTATACATGTGACTTTTATAACTCATTATTCGTAGTGATTGGTCTTAGGACTGTATCATGCTGGTACTAATTACTTTGTGGACTCAAATATCCAATTTGTATACATTATCAATTTGCGTTTTTATGCTAGTCATGTCTTTATTTATTTCATCAAAAGAAAAACAATGAATGAAGGTTATATCATCATTTATCGGTTTCCTTGTATTGATAATCGAATCAAATGAAATTCGTGTCGCATTAGTCGGTAAAGCATTTCAATTATTTCCATGATTGAAAGAAAACTAATACCAATCCATAGGCCAGTTTGACCGCCAATATTTGAAAGAACATCAACTAAACCCATTGTGGCTGTTTGAGAATTCGTTTCGACGATATTTGTTTCACGTGCAATGTTCACAGCAAGATAATCTGCATAAATATGTTCACGCCATGTGATGGACCAATTAGCAGGTAATGACACTGACGAGTTTTCCACAAAAGCCTTAATGTCATTCATTTCCCATTCGAGCGGTGCTCGTGACGAAGATGCTTGAACAATGAAGCTTGTTATTGTACATTGTTGTAAACAATCTAAACAATACTTATTCATCAGTGATGATGAAGTCCAAATTTTATTCGCCGCTGTTGAATAACATTGATTCGTTATGTTGCAAAGGGGTGCTATGATGATTTCCTCACTGTCTGGTTTAACAATCGAGCGAGCATTCCATAAATTCGGGTTCACACAACCACATTGTTCATAACTATAATAAATCAAACTTCTTTTTGCATATATGAAAGTACAATTAAAATTATTCGCTCTGAACATACTTACATGTACTTTTGTTCACATAGTTGATAGCAAATTGTTTCTGAATAACCATAATCAGCGCCACGATATTTTTCGAGCATAGCTTTCATTGAAGGAGAAATTTCACTTGTACAACTAGTATATGGTGATGATAAAAAGTATGCTGTCTTCTTTCTATAGCCCAATTTATGTTTTCGTCCTGGTGCCAGTTCTAGACCAGCTGCTTCAATCAGTGGCAGTTGTGTATTATCATGGACGAGAGCTATGATTCCAGCGGCTAAATACAAATTAAGAAAAGCATATTATGATATAGATCTTTTTTCTCTTGCTTACAATTTGCTGTATAAGGGACATATTGATGACTGTGTACATAGAGACCTAAGTAAAGGTTACCATCACCTCCACCTTGATTTATATATCTTATACTATCAGTATAGCTATTTGTAAGTTTTGCATTGAACGTATAGCATAAGCCATAGGATGATGATAGAAATGGAATAAAATCTTGTACTGAACATGGTTGGAAATTGTATGTACATGTGCGAAGCATGGAAGATAGTGAAAAGAAATATGATTCAACTGATTCATTTATATTACTTTTATAAATTAGAAAATCCCAAAGATCACTTAATTGAAATGTATCAGCTGTTGTTGTACTATTTATATTTGTTGCATTAATGTAGCTTAAAAATGGTCCCATAATTTGATCATAACGAAGTGGTGATCCATTACAAAAGCTAAATGCGGGAAAATATTGCGGCCATTCTCTGATATAGGTTATATCCATGCTTGTTGGATAGTCGAAATAGGCCATAATTGCTTTAACAATAAAAAATATCATAATTGCAGCAAAGCCAATAAATGAAATCGACCAAAATATACGATTGTGTATGCTTGCACTGCGAGCAATACCTGGCAAGGCATGGGTGGATGTATTTAAACAGAATTCACGAACAATGGACAGACGACGAGGTCGTTTTTTTCCTCCAATCGTTGGTATTTTATCCAGTGGTGCAACTATTTTTGCATGAAGAATTCGATCTACCATCATAGCACGTTATTTTTCTAAAATGAATAGCGAACTTAACTATTCATTATTATAAGTTAACAATGGCTTCTTGAATAAACATTTTTTTCAATAGAAAGCCGGGGAAATTATTTTTCATCGGTAAGATATCATGGTCCTTTCCGACAGATAATTGAAAATGTAATTAAAAATTCACTTTTTTATGAGTTTGATACCGCGTGTTTGTTATTGTTTTTTTTTCTCGAAAGCTCTGTCAATATTTGTCTGATTAATTATTCCAAGAAGTACCAACGTAAAACTAAGAAACTTTATGTCACTCTATGTAGAAAGAGTTAATAGAAATCGGCATTGATTGCCTAATGATTGACAAACAATTTTTTTTTCAAAAATATCTTTTCATTTTTTCCTCGTTCTCAAAGAACTTTTTTACAGAATCAATCTCTCACAAATATCGCCTTATTTTGCATTGCCGAAACATTTTGAAGACCTTGCTTCTTAGTTTTTGAAAAGAATTTTACTGTTTCCTTATCATGTCTCCGTTGAGAACAATAAATAAAGCAAAACTTTTCTCTCAAATAGAGAGATAAAGTTCAATTTCCAAAAAATATGAAGTCAATAGAATCGTTTCTTTCGTCGATGATTCTAGATATAAGAATCCTTGACAAGACGAATATTGAAAACAGAGTTTGATAAAAGCAGCTAATATAACATTTGAAAGATTTCTTACTCTTCGCTCCACAAAACCCGGTTGAAAAAAGTAAACTTTGTAGAGACATGCTTATTCAATAATTTCATATAAAAGATGAATTGTCGTCTGTCTTTGTATGAAGATTGCTTTGAAAGTAGAGGCATTGTTTTTTAAAGATTCGATTTCTTTACTACTTAAAGATGGCACTATTTTCCCAAGATTATGCAGCTACAGGTGTAGACAGTGAGTTTTTGATGTTTGATGTGACAGTAAAAGAGCTCTTCATCATCAACAACTCTCTCACTCTCATGATCTCTTCCACACGTCACACCCTCGAATTTGAAATAACACACACTATCAAATGTAAGCCAAATCTCGATCTTTTATTATCAATGTTTCGCAAAAATTCATAAATTTGAAGTATGATAGATTGTATGCAGCTTTTTCAGCAAAAATCATTATCGCACTTGTAACGATATCACTGGCAATGCATGCATCAAACAATGAACAATTAAGTCATGGTGAATCCATCTCATTCCAGAAGCACAGAATCACAGACATGGAAAGGCGTTTGAAATTTTGTAGCCTTGTCAACGGATACCTATGAAGAAAAGATGATGCCGAAAACAATACCCATGGAGACAGTTCTTGGCCATATAGTGTAAGTTTGTAAAGAAATATTTACTACTGAAGTCGAGTTTTTAGGAACAATAATTTTTGCACTTTTTGACCTAAAATATTGTTCACGTAAAAAATTTATAGTTATTTACTGATGTAGCTATAAGAAAAGTCTGAAGCCTTCTTTTCACGTCTGCAATATATCAAATTTTAAAAAGAAGCACTCTTCATTAACGAAGTTATTTGAAATGCAACTATTTTGAATAGTTTCCAAGTTCAGATATTCAATTCTAATTATATTTTTTCGTTTCTAGAAGCAATGTAAGTGGAACATGTTAGATGATAGGACTTAATTGACATATGAAATGCTACTTTTGCTAGAAATTTGTATATTGCTATAGAATTTCGATAAGTATGAAAATGATCCTGAAAGCTTTCCTTGGCTACAGATCTTAAATTCTTAGCTAAAATTGGAATTCAAAAATTGTCGGATATGATGTTCTTATCTAAATACTTGTCAATAGCCTTAATAATAAATTACTCACAAAAACCTTACACCTGAGTGTATCCAAGTTTCAAAAATTTCAATAAAGTGTTTGAAAATAGGTATGATATCAATTCTGTTCGAGATAGGAATGCACCAATTCCAATTCCGACCAATTCCAATTCTTAGAATTGTCGAAATTGGTTGGAATTGGTCGGAATTGGGAATGGAATTTGTTGGAATCGGCTGGAATTGGAATTGGAATTGGAATTGGTTTGGGATCGGTCTAAAAAAATTGGTAATCGATCGACGATTTCTCGAAATATGTGCAAAATAAACGATTTATAAAACCCAATTCCGACCAATTCCAATTCTTGCCAATTCTAGCCAATTCCAATTCCAGCCAATTCCAACCAATTCCAATTTCCAATTCCAATCGATTCCGCCAATTTCTAGTGAAGAATTGGAATTAGTTGAAATCGGAATTGGTGCATTCCTAGTTCGAGATTTTCTGTCATTCGAAAAATAAATAAATTTGAATCAAATATTTTATTTTTCAACTTAATACTGTATACTTACTTTAGAGTAAACTTCAGACTCTGAAAAACTTTTCATCATATGTAACCACTTTAATTACTTCTAGATTCTATCGAATTCATAAAAAATTGTCAACTTAGTGGTATAGACTAGC